TTTCACATCGTCATCAGCTGTCCTTCACGCTGATAAGGTGGGAAGAAATCAATTCTCTTTGAGTATACTTGCTTTGAGATTTAATTTTACTGAACACCTGTTCATATGTAACAACTTTGATACAACTACCTTCCCCTCATCTAGATTTCTTCCCAATTGGTGTTTTTTATTGATCATTGTAAAATAAGTCCATCGCAAAGTTTTGGCGGAATTAGAAAGTAACTGGGCAGAAACTCTTGAGGTTTTAGATCCAAGAATTCAAGACTGAAAGTTTATTTCTCGGAAAAAAAAGCACGAACTCATTGATAGGTAGAGAAAAAAAGCTGGATGCTCGAGCGGTTTTTGGTAATTCGAATATTTGCTCCACACTTTGCATAAAAATTGTAGCCTGTAGAAACAGCTTGAGTTTCGGTTGATGCAGTGTTGTATATTTGAAGCGCTGCCCTAGCAAGGAAGGGAGAAAGTGCAGTATCTGGATATTGCGCTTAAGTTGGGTTAAGGAACGCACAAAATGTGTTTGCTATAAGGGACGCAAAATTTTGAGAAACAAAAAAGTGTTTGCTAATCGGAGCCTGAAGTCTCTATAGATCTCCGCGAACCTAAATCACAAAAAGATACGGTAACTTTTCATTCTCATAATATTCCAAAGATTTGTCAAACACCTGTTTTACTCTTTGTTGCGCATCTTTGCGCCAATTATGGGGACTGTTCATTGCCTATTCGCTTAAAACAGGTTTTTCTAAAATTTTCAAGTCTTTTGGTTCCCGCGCAAACGCCCGCATTGAAACAAAAATTGCCTTTGCTGGAGCAGCATAGAGCCTCAACACTCTTGTTGTGTAAAGAACGCTCATGATTGACATTGAACTTCAGCTCCTCTCCGAATCCCACACGGTTACCCCTTTGTTTTTTTCTACAAAAACGAATTCCAGCTTGCTCTTCGGAGACCTGCCGCCGAGGACTGTATGCAAGGAATATTTCCCACACCTTTTAGAGCTGCTTTTTGATTATCTACAAAGGGAGCGTTGAAATGGGAATGATTAAAGTCTCTTAGTTGGTGCTGCAACAAAAAAAAAACGAATTCTATTCTTAAGTCATATCATCTAGTGAGTAAAGCATATAATTATGATAGAGAGCAAATCCCCCACCTCAGGCCTCAGCACGACGTCTCCGATTGCACCTTACGAGAACGAATCCCCGCTTGAAAATCCACGAAATCACGAAGCCCCCTCTGTAACCTGTACAGACACGTGCAATCAGGACGACATTGCAGTGCGGTGTACCTGGAGCGCGTCTTCATTAAGATAATACGATTTAGGGCCCTAGCAAAGAAGGGAGAAAGTATTTTGATCTGGTTATTGCGCTGTAAGTTAGCTCAAGGGATGCACAAAAAGTGTTTGCTATAAGCAACTCAAAATTATGGGAAACAAAAAAGTGTTTGCTAATCGGAGACCAGAGGTCTCGGTCTCCCGTAGGTCTCCGCCGGAGACATAAATCACAAAAGGTACGGCGATTTTTTCATTCTCATAATGTTTCAAAGATTTTTCAAACACTTCTTCTACTCTTTGTTGTGCCAATTTTGGTGGCTGTTCATTGCTTATTCGCTTAGAATAACGGGTTTGAACGATTTCTAATGCTGTTCAAGTTTTCCGCGCAAATGCCCGCATTAGAACGAACGTTGAAACTTTGCTGGAGCAGGATTTTGAACAGTCTTTAAGTGCGTATGGAATTACTCTGAATTGAGTATTGAGTAAGACGGAAATAGTTAAGCCGCATGCATGAACATCCGCGCTAGGAAGGAGAGGAAGGGGTGAGGAGGTATTCAACATTCATGTTGTGGAAAAAGCGGTCTTAATTGAGATTGAACTCCTCTCTTTTCCGGACCTTATACGATTT